TGCGGCTGGGCTGGGGGGTCCATCCCCTGGTGGTGCCCTGGGTGGTGGGGGACACATGCAAGCAGGGCCCAGGGAACACCCTTGTCCCTGCCGTGTTGCAGTGGGCAGCTGTTGGGGCGAAGCGGAGGGCTATGGGGCACAGTGAGGGGGAACCCCCAGAGTTTGCACCACAGCTGGGATGGAGATGTGAAGCACCATGTGCCCCCCACCGTGGCGTCCCAGCTCTGCCTGGCACCCACCTGTGCTGGCTGCCCTGCCCGGTCCCTGGTGGTGTTGCTAGGGCTGTGCCACTGCAGGCACCCAGCTCCTGGGGGTGCTGGCATCCCCCTCACCTTGGCTGGGGTGCTGGGGAGGCCACTGCATCCTCGGAGCAGGACAGCAGGTCCTCAGGTCCCAGCCATGCCACCGCAGGGTCCCCAGTGCCTGGCCACTCTGAACTCCATCCCCTCTGCCCAGAGCAGGCAGAAGAGCTGGGTGCAGGTTGTCGCAGGGACAAATCCTCCTGCCAGCCTCACTGCAAGCCCTGCCAGCCATCCTGCAAAACCCCCGGCAACCCCCCCGGTGCCAAAATGGTGCTCCAGCCAAAAGTGGAGCATCCCTCTGCATTACAACCTCCTTGTGCCGCCAACCCACCTGCAAGCCCACCCCATCCGTGGCCCGGATGGAGCAGGAGGGACCACCCAGGGGGTGGCTGCCTGGTGGTCTGCAGGAGACAGACCTTCGTCAGGGTCCAAAGCAGCCAAAAAATGTTGCTGAGGTGTCTGAGTATGACCTCTGAGCGTGAGCTCCAGGTGCCCAGGAAAGCGGTGGGACCTGGGCTATTGCCTCAGCTTCGTAGGGATGGGCACAGGGACATGGGTGGTTTCGATGGGTCTTGGCACTGTCCCCCCGGTCCAACACCCCAGACCTGCTGGCCTGACCTGGCTCTTCCCCCTGGCAGCTCAGCAGGCAGGGAAAGGCCGGGCAGGCAGCGGGGGCAGGGGGCAAAGGCTTGGCTGGGACCAGTGTGGGCTGTGGGGATGAAATGGGACAGCCTCGCCCCTCATGACCATGCCTGGGCCTGTCCCCCCAGAGCCACGTGAAGCTGGAGGTGATGGAGATGGCAGTGGCTGGGGGAGGGGGGGGGGATTTTGGGAAGCAGAGCTGGACACCAGCCAGACCAGCTCCATGCCAGCCCCATGTCCCTCCCTCCCATGCAGGACCATGTCCTGCTGACACCTCCACCAAGATGCCCTCCCCAGCTCCTGTCTGGGGCACCTCCCAGCCCTGTCACCACTGTTACGCTGGGAAAACTGAGGTGTGGAAGGAAAGGCAGGGACCTGCCCTTGAGGGCTTGCCCCAGGGCTCTGCATCCCACCCCATCTGCAGGGGGCAGCTCCCCATCCCAGGGGCTGCCTCCCACCCTGACCCACCGCATACGCTTGGATAGCTGGGGGCATTTTAACAAGGGTCTCTTCTCTTGCAGGTGTCCCTGGTGCTATCCCTGGAGGGGGAGTCCCAGGAGGAGCCTTTTTCCCAGGTAAGGGGGTCCAGGCAGCTTTGGGAGGGGCATCACCCTGCTTGCAGGGATGGGGCAGGTGCCTGGGGGGGTCCCCGGGTACCTCTGAGCCAGCATGGAGGAGCAGGAACCTGCCAGCCAAGATCAGGGGATGTGGGGACACCCTCTCTGGCCGCTCAGCCCTGGGTGGCAGCCCCAGCGCCAGCCCCACAGCATGGGGACAGGGCTGGGTGGCAGTGCCAGGCTTACACTGGGGGTCACTAGCCCAGGGCTGGCACCTACACCCTGCCCAGCCCTGGCCACAGGAGGTGCTCAGAGGTCACAGCCTGTCCCCAGTGTTTCAGCCAAAATCCTGGAGACATCCCAGCCAGGATGATGCTCCATCCCCTTGCACCCTTGTGATCCTCTCTGCCTCCCCGTGGACCACCAGGAGCCTGGTGTGGGTAGGTGGTGGGTGCTCACAGGAATGGGTGCTAAGAGTGTGCTGTTGCTCGCAGGTGCTGGGGTTGGAGGTTTGGGAGCAGGTGAGTGCTGGGACCCCATTGCCCGGGGTGTGCTGGGATGGGGAGGGGGGGCAGCACTCCCGGCAGAGCTGCTCTGTGGCAGGTGGAGGGTCTGCCACGAGGCTGGCCCCGTCCCACACAGCGTCCCCCCATTGGGGGATGCTTGGAGGAAGGATGGCTCTGACCCCACTCCACTGGCTCTCCCCTAGGACTCGGGGCTGGAGGAAAACCTCTCAAACCAGGTAAGAAGCCTTTCCTTGGCTCTCTTGCCACCTCCAGCCATGCCAGCAGGCAGGATATTTCCCAACCCCTGTTGCCCTCATGTTTCTCCCACGTGGCCAAGGGGACCCCCCCACCCTGGGCACCCCCACGGCCAAGGCACGCAGCAGACAGCACTGCCCTGCCCCACTAACCCCCGCCAAGCCGCCATAGCCACGTGCGAGCCCGCTTCAGCGCACTGCCCTCTCCCCTCCAGCCCCCCCGGACCGCCCTTTCAGGGTGCTTGCTACCTGCAAACCTGCGCCAAAGCTGCTCGGGAAGAGGCAAAGCTGGGTAACGCTTGCTCAGCCCTGCTGGGAGCTGGTGCCTGGGGGGAGCTGGCAGCACCCCCGCCTGCCTGTGTTCACAGCCGAGCAGCTTTCACTGGGGCTCCTGCAGCCCATGCTGGGGTTTGTCCAGCCTAGAAATGAGGGGGCAAGAGGGGGCATCGCCGGGAGAGAGATGAGATGCTGGCAGGAGGATGCACAGACCGAGGGCACCGAGCCGGGGGTAGTGCTGGGCATAGCTGGGAGGTGCTGGGGCAGCAGGGACTGAATGTGCAGGGGGCAAATCTGGTGCCAACGGAGGTGCCCGGTGCCCATGGAGGCCCGGGGAGAGATGCTCTGTTAGGCGGAGAGCTGAGTGTCTGCTCCCTGCCCGCCACAGGGGTACCCGCTGAGCCCTGGGCAGGGGCACGCTGCACCCCTCGGCCCCCCGAGCCGGCCCGTCTGCGCGGCGGGAGCGCCAGCCCGAGGCGGGGGCCGGCAACCTCCGTTTACTCAGATTTCAGCTCATGGAAAGAAAAACAAGGCCCTTTATTTCAGCGTAATTAAAACCAAACGCGGCGCGGCCTCGAAGCCCCAGCCAGAGCGGTGTCCGCGCCCTGAGCCAAAGGCAGTGGAATTTGCGCCTGGAGGGAGTGAGGGCTGATTAGCCCCAGATGTTGGAAGGCAGCGCTGGCCGAGCCAGAGGGACTCATTCCTCAGCCATAAACATTTCGTCTCAGTCCTCTCGTGGCCCGGCAGGGTGGGGGGTGGACGAGACAGAAAGGGGCGAGATGGGGGACTGGGATGCTAGCGGGGACATTTTTCACTCGTCCCTGTGCCCATCCCCGGGGCACGCTCCTGTCCCACCGGAATGGTGCAAGCGGGATGCTCCTGCTCCTCTGGCCCTGGCCATCCCCCCCAACCTCACCCCACTTCTCTTTCCAGGGGTCGGAGGCCTCGGGGGACTCGGCCCACTTGGCCTGCAGCCAGGTGAGCACAGGCCACTGGCCATCCCTGCTCCAGACTGTCCCCAGGGCGATGTCCCCAGACGCCCACCTTGGGGACAGCACGTGGCTCGTCCCCATTGGGTGCTTTCTGTAGCCTGCCTGGTGGGTGCAGTCTGGGCTGGGAGCCCTACCCAGACCAGCAGCCTGGTGGTCCCCCAAAATCATGGCATCCACCATGGCTGAGTGACCCCAAGCAGCGATAGGCGAGGAGGGACGTAGGGTCCCCATGAGGTCTGCAGCAGGGTGACAGCACCCACACGTGGCCTGGCCAACCTGCCCGGGGTAACAGGGGACCCTGGCGTGCTCAGCGGCCCGGTGACGCCGCAGGGTGCCCTGGGTGGCATGGGCATAGCTGATGAGGGGTGGGATGTGCGTGGGAGCAGGTATTTGGGGGGGATGCAGGGAGAAGCCAGCGCAGGACAGGTCAGCACCTGATAACCACCGCCTCGCCCAGCCTAACGCCAGCCCCCGGCACCCCCATGCAGCCTCCTAGGGCTCAATGCCTCCCCCCTCCCCGCGCCCGCTACACCCAGTGCGGAGGGCAGGACACCTTCTCACCAGCTGCTTTTTGGGGATGCTCACATGGGTTGTTCTCCTTCCTGCAGGTGCTGCAGGTCTCTTCCCTGGAGGTGCCTTCCCTGGGGGAGTCTTCCCAGGTGCTGCCTCTGCTGCTGCGCTCAAGGCTGCTGCAAAAGCTGGTGAGTGCTGAGGGTGTCTGATGCCATGCTGGGCCAGACAATGGTGCTGGGCAAGGCAACGGTGCTGGGCAAGGCAATGATGGCGGGCAAGGTAACAGTGGCGGGCAAGGCAACGATGCTGGGCAAGGCAACGATGCTGGGCAAGGCAACGGTGCTGGGCAAGGCAATGATGCTGGGCAAGGTAACGGTGGTGAGCAAGACAAAGCCAGGTCTTGGGCAGCCCCTGGGGACTCCTGGTGTCCCCTGGGTGCCTGGGTTAGGAGAGCTTTCCCCATGGAGCTGGGGGGCTGCTCTCATGGGGACCCCGCCAATGTGGAGGGGCCTAGCTCATCTTGATGTGTTGAGGAAAGGGTGTTGGCCAAGCCCGAGTCCCTGGGAGTGGAGAGTACCGAGCTGCCTGGTCCCTGTGCACGGATCTGGGGGACCCATCCCCGGTGCTGCCTCAGGATGTCCCCTTCGCTCCCCAAGAGCTGTCCTGAGCTTGTCCCTTCCCTTGGCACCACTATGGCCACCTCTTGCCCAGCAGTGGCATCTCATGCTGGTACACACCTCTTCCCAATGCCCCCAGCTGCTGGAATTGGTGGTTTGGGTGGGACTGGTGGTCCTGTTGGCCTCGGGGTCTCTGCAGGTAGGAGTTGCCCCTCGTCCTGAGCATAGCCGAGCCTGGGGCGTCCCCGTGCCTGCCAGGGTGGGCAGGAGCCAGTGCGCTGGGGCTCAGGGGGTCTCTGCTGCCTGCAGGTGCAGTGGTACCAGGCGGGGTGCAGCCTGGGGTTGGTGCAGCAGGGAAACCCCCCAAAATACCAGGTAGGTGCACGGCCCCGAAGCGGGGGGCCGGGGAGGGGAACGGCTCCGTCTGGGTGCTTATCCCTGCCTTTCTCTTGCCCGGCAGGTGCTGGGATTCCTGGAGTTTTCCCGGGTGGCGTGCTCCCTGGCGCAGGTGAGCTGGGGGTCCCCACCCCACCAGCAGCCCCTGACATCCAAGGGGGTCCCCACCCCACGAGCAGCACCCTGGTTTGAGCTGATAGACTGTGGCCAGCTGCACCCGGGGCGTTTGAACACTTCCCCTGCCTGCGTTCCCCATCGCTGCTGCCTGCAGTTTCCAAACCCTTTCGCTGGGGCCATGGCGACATTTCCACCGTGCCAAAGGCGGGGGAACCCGGTGTCTCCGGGGGTCTCGTGCCAAGGTCCACAGGAGCAGGCAGCATCAGTGGCAGGAGAGGGGCTGGCATGGCCCATGCCGGGGCCGGCTTGCCCAGCCAAAGGCGGCGTGGGAAGGAGGGGGCCTGAAAATGCATGAGTTATAATGAAAGACATTTGTAAAAGGGAGAAAAAAACCCAAACCAAACAAAAAAATCCACCACCAAAAACCCAAGCCATGTGACTGCAAGGCCAAAGCACTGCCTGTTGCCCCTGGAGAGTCGGGGGTCAGCGGGCAGGATGCATCCTCCCGCTCCCCAAAGAGCCCCAGCTTGCATGAAGCCCCTGCACATCACTGGGGCTTGGCCGTGCCATGGGGTGAGCTGGTGCCCTGCTGCCACGAGTGGGACCCCCTCTGCCCAGGGGATGCGGGGAGGCTGGCACTGGGGTATCCCAGCAAGCCCCGGGGGGTGAGGGTACCCTCTCCCAGGGTACAAGGGTTAGTGCTGAGCCAGAGATGGGTGACGAGGATTTGGGAGCTGGGTGCAGGGGTCTCAGGTACCAGCAACACCAGGGTGCCCCACTGTGCTCACCTGGCCCCCCCGGTCTCTGCCACAGGCGTCCGCTTCCCTGGCGTAGGGGTGCTGCCTGGAGTGCCCACTGGTGCTGGAGTCAAGCCGAAAGGTCCAGGTAGGTCCCCTCCATTCCCTGGGGATGCCGGGGTGGAGGGCGGGTCCAGGGCTGGCTCCAGCTCTGCCCTCATCCCCATTCTGCTGGGACTGGCTCCAGCCCATCATTTGGGGGTCACAGACCCACAGACCCACAGCTGACCTGCAGCTGAGCCCATGCAGCCTTGTTTGGACCCCAAGGACAAGCCCTCAGGCTGACGTGGGTGCATTTGTATTTCTGCCTAGGAGCAGGAGCCTTCGCAGGAATCCCTGGTGAGTGTCCCGTCTCTCTTGCCCATCCTTCTCTTCCTTCCCAAGCTGGTTCATCACAGCCATGGCCAGAAGATGCCTCAGGGCTTCCCAAACCACCCGCTCTCCTCTCCCGGGGTGCCCCGGGGCGCTCCCCTCTTTCAAGGACTGGTGGCAGCCTGGGCACGGGCTCCAGGTGAGAGTCTGCTGTTGGCTTTGCAGGACTGGGAGGTTTTGGCGGTCAGCAGCCTGGTGTCCCTCTGGGGTATCCCATCAAAGCTCCTAAGCTCCCAGGTAAGCTGCCACAGGACCCCCAGCAGTGCCAGGAGAAGGACCCGCCGTTCCCCGGGGCTGAGCCGCGGTGCCCCCGGGTCCCCTGGACCTGGCAGTGCCGGTGCCAGCCCTGGGACAGCAGGACAGGGCGAGGGACGCTGGGCGGGTGAGTCTGGCAGCAGCCCTGCCTGTCGCAGCCTCTGGATGCTGCTGCTGGGCTTGCCCCCAGCCTGTGAGGACAATGCTGTGCCTCTCTCCAGCTGTGGTAAGGTAGGAAGGAGCATGTTCCGGCGTCACGCTTTGGGCCAGGCCACCCTATGTTGTCCCTGCTGGCTCCTCCTGGCAGGAGGCAGAGCCCTTGCAGGGACCATCTCCTTTCTGTGGCTCTCAGGGTCATGCCATGCATCGCTGGGTGTTCACCTGGGCTGAATGTCCCAGCTCAAGGAGCTCAAGCCAAGGCCACCAACAGCCGGGATGGAGCTCCAGGCAGGTCTGCCTCCCTCCCCACTGCCCGCCCAGATGAGGCTCAGCCCCAGCCCAGGGAAACCTAGGTGGGGCTCAGCACCCTTTTCCCAGTCTGTGTTGCTCTGGAGACCTCCGTCTCCCAGCCCCATGCTGGCTGCCATCTCTGCCTGTCCCCAGCCGGCCGTGCCCATGCAAGGACAGTGGCAGGACAGGCAGTGCTAGGCAGCCAGTGCCGGCTGCTGTGCCCTCCAAGGGCCACGCTGCCAGCGCACTGGTCCCACCAGCATCCCTGAGGAGGAGGGCAGCCAGATCTGGGTGAGGGGGACTCATGTACCTGGGGTGCTGGGGAGCAAGTAAATCCATGGGCATTTTCCCACTCACCAAAACAAGTTGCTGCAGGCAGGAAAGCCTTGGTGAGGGAACGCACCTCCAGGGAGCAGGTCCCACGCCGGCACAGGCGCCAGCCCTGGCAGCTCTGCCGGCTTCCCCCCGCTGGGGCCCGTCGCCACAAACAGCAGCAGAAATATTTGGCCTGTGGAGGCTTCCTCCCGCGGAGGCAGAGTTACGCTTGTTAGGGGGATTTGGCCCTGCCGCCATCGGATACCGTCTGGCCTCCCGGCCGCAGCCCAGCCCCGGCTGCCTTTCATGGGGTGCCCGGTGCGCAGAGCAAACCACTGGTGCATGGCGCAGCCGTGCCTGGCTCCATCCCGCGGCGGCCCCGCCAGTGGCCCCCAGCCCGGATGGGACACCGCTGCCGGCTGACCCACTTTATGGGGAACCTTCATTAAATAAATCAGGGGAGGACACCATTCCCCTTGGCCAGGGAGCCCCGTCAGGGCATCTCAGCTCTCGTGGGGACCAGCAGGACCGTGGTGGTGTCCCCAGCTGTGGTTTCAGCTGCTGGACACTGCCTGGCACCCCAGTCCTTCCTGGGATGCTGCTGGGGGTGCCAGTTTGTCACCTCTGACGGCTTGGGGACATGCTGGGCTGGCTGTTGAGGCTCTCACTTTGATGCAGCGGATGGACCTGGGTGCTGCCACCCATCCCCATGTCACCTGCGCTGTCTCCCAGCTGCAGTGGGTCTGGGTCGAGACGGAACAACAGGGAAAAATAACATTTTCAGTGGAAAGTCTCCTTTTTGGATGCTTTGCTCCAAATGCCCTAGCCAGCTCCTGCTCTGGGCTGTCCCCGCTCAGGAGGTAGCCAGGGGCCACCCCGCTTGCTGAGGGCTCAGCCTGGAGCTGTGGCTGAAATAGGGTCCCACCCGATGCCATAGGGATGGGGACCGGTCCCCAGTGCCTGGCTGTGCTGGAGTGGCATTGGTCTGCGTGAAGCCCATTCCATGCCACCAGTGTGCCCATCGGCCCCAACACCCCCCTGCAGTGCTGGCAGCTTCCCCATGCTGGTGCAGGATGGGTGCGCATAGCCCCAGGGTGGGGGCTGCTCTTGCATCCCACTGGGGATGGTGGGGAGCTAGGCTTGGACCCTGCAAAACCATCCGGAGACCCAAGGACTTGAACTCACCCTTCTGCAGCTTTGGGGTGAGCGAGGTGCTGGTGAGGTGCCCCAGGATGGGCAAGGGGAGTCCCCAAGGTGGGGGACGCCCAGTATGGCTCATGGCCATCACAGCCTGGAAAGCCTCCACCTTCCAGCCACGCCGCACTAGTGTGGGACACGATGGGACAGCCTGGCAGGGCGGAGGGAAATCTGGTCCGCACATGCTGGCTGGCGGGAGGGGACACTTCGCCATGAGCAATCCCCTCCTGGCTGCAGGCAGCCGCATCCCCGCCCTGCCCGCAACCCCCTGCAGCAGGAGGGCTCAGTATGTGAGATCCCTGCGTGCCACTTGAGGCGTCCCCATGGGGCATGTGGCAGCCCATCGCCCCTCCTCAGGCCACTGCCAGCAGTGGTGGGAGCTCGGTGCTGCTGGCTCCCAAGAGCATGGTCCCGGCCGAGTCACGGGCATCCCTGCGCCGTCCCGAGCAGTGGGATCCCGCTCTTTCGCAAGGAGACATTTCCCTGGCCGCGATGTTCCCACTTGTAATCCCTCCCCATTCCTTTGCGCCGACCTCCTAACAAGGTCACGTTTCAGCAGAGGCTCCCAAGCCCTGATTCCAATTAAGACCTTTAATTTGGAGCCAGCCGTGGCACAGCCAGCTAGGTACAGCTCTCGCCGCGGGGCTCCTGGGGGACCCCCCACTGGAGTGGGGTCACGGGAGGTTCCTGCAAAACTGGCTTCGGGTGCCATGGCCCTCGGCGTGGGGCGGAGCGGGAGTGGCTCTTTCTGGAGCTGCTGCTTCCAAGATGATGGAGAAGAGCATCTCCTGGCCCGGCTCCATCACAGGGGTTTGTATCCCGGAGGATTTACTATCCCGATGGAAGGAGCCCCAAGGGCTGGTGCCGCACAGCCGGCTGGCAGAGAGGGGCTACACCGCGGGGCAGAGGGGGCACGGCCACCGGCAGCCAGGTGCTAACCTGCCACCTTCTCTCCTCTCCAGGTGGCTATGGATTGCCCTACAGCACTGGTAAGCTGCCCTACGGTGAGTGCTCGTAGCCCTCGCTCCGCGGTCGTAGCTC